ATAAAACTCTGGACCCACAGCTTCTATTGCCACCATGCCTTCAATAATCAATTCTTTGAGAACAGGTAATAGCCCAAGTGATGGTAACAGAGTACATCTCTTACAATCTTTGAGCTTCAAGAATGACAAATTAGAAAAAAATGGATCACCAATCCATGAAGGGAATTTTTGGCCACCATAGGAAACAATTGTGAGACTTCTCAATTTTGAATGAGGTTTTAACCAGTTGAGGACCTGCATTTCTTCATTGCTTGAACTACTAGAATCAGAAGTCCACTCTAAATGCAATTCATTGAGACCATCAATATTTTGCAGGTTTGCCACCAAAGCATCTTGAACATTCAAAACATTTTGCAAATTCAAAATAGAAAGGTTTCCTTGAAGTTGTGACAAGTTCTTCAAATTAGATAATCTCATCAATCTATTTTCTTTCCCCACAATAAATTTAGACGACGTCAAGAGATTTTTGAGATTACATATTCCCAATGGCATCTCTTTCAAGGATTCCGTACCTCTAATATCCAGGTGATGGAGGTCAATCAAGTTCCCAATTGCCACTGGAAACTTAAAAAACAAGCGGCAGTTGAAGAGCAATAGTGTCTGTAATTGGAGAAGGAAACCCACGGACTCAGGTAGGCTTTCTATTCGAGTTCTAGACAAATCAAGGTACTTCAAACCTTTTAAATCTCCGATTGAATCTGGCAACTTTTCTATTTGATAACCCACCAAAGATAGTACCTTTAAGTATCGTAATTTTGGTAGCCAATCATGCACCATTGTATTTGCTATATTACACTCGAGCCATGATCCCACTGCAATGAATGTTCGCAAACACTTCATGACCTTCAAAACTTCAAATTTCTTAGAGATGTCATAAATGCCACGAATGAATGACAAATGACGAACCTTCTCAAAAATTCACTTTTGATTTTTTATCAACCTCCAACATATGTTCTAGATTGAAGAATGATTCTCCAGCAACAAATTGAGCTAAATCATGAATGAGATCATGCACCACGTACTTCGATTCATTCCCATTTGACCATTGGAAAAATGCTCTTGAAACTAACTCAGAGAAATATAGATGACCAGCTTCTATTGACTGTTGTTGTAAAATACCCCATGCCATCCACAATAAAACAAGCTTGTTCTTCTCAAACCTAACGCCTTTAGGAAACAGAGCACAGTAGGCAAAACATGGCTTCAAATAAGAAGGAAGATAATGATAGCTCAATCTTAAAGCTGGAAGAATGTTACTTTCACTTTCTTGCAGCTCCCATATTTCATTATTTAAAATGCGTTCCCACGCAGAACAATTTAACTTACCACGTAGGAGGCCCCCAAGGGTTTTTGCAACCAATGGCAATCCTTTGCACCTTTTAACAATTTTCTCACCAGTTTCCTTTAAATTTGGGTGTGCATCAAAATTGTCTTCTCCTAATGCATGTTGAGCAAACACTGACAAGCATTCTTCATCCTTCAACACTTCTAGACGGTAAACTCTATCCATCCCTCCCATAATTTCTACAACACGTTCATTGCGAGTTGTGATGATTATTTTACTTCCAGCTGCTCCTGCTAAGAATGGTTTTTGTAGACTATCCCACAAGGAGTAGTTCTCATTCCAAATGTCATCCAGTACAAGCAAAAACTTCTTGTTAGATAACTTGCTGTTCAATTCTTGTTGAAGCAAATTTAAATCTTTCGAAACACACTTTCCCCCAACTGCCTCTAGAATGGTTCTTGTTATTCTTGTAATATCAAATTGATCAGAGACACAAACCCAAACTTTGA